TCCTTTTCTTCTCTCTTACTTTTTTTCCCCGCCTTTTCTGTTCATTAAGATTTGCATTGCTAACAACACGCGGTATAAAGATTTGCTACATTGGATGAATCCACTAGGACCACCAGTCTTGGAATTCTTGGATCCGGTCTAGGTGCTCATTCTTCATCCAATTTGGAATCCTTTACTTAGTCGTGCGCTCAACGTCCTCATTTAGCATTTTCACATTATTTAGATCCTCCTGCTGCTCGATGGTTTCAAAGACTCAATAGAGATGGCCTTTGCACTACTTGGCAAACTTTAACCGTTGCATTACAGCACCGTTTTGGACCTACGGGTTTTGAGGATTCCGCAGGTATGTTGAGTAAGCTTAGTCAAACTGTCTCTGTGACTGACTATCAAGCTCAATTTGAGGGTCTCTTTAGCAAGGTTCCTAACATTATACTGTCGCTCCTTAAGAGCATTTTTATTAGCGATTATAAACCGCAGATCCGACGCGTTGTGTTAACCATATCTCCTCCAGATTTACATGGTTCATTTGCTTTAGCTCGTCTATTTGAGGAGCAATTTACAAAGAAAAATTAGTTAGACAGTGGGCTTCCAAGGTCCTAATGCCAGCGGCACTACCAGCTCCCTTTACTCTTCTTCCTTCTAAACAGAAGACCGCTGAGCCTATTCCAGCTATTCCGATCAAGAAGCTTTCCCTTGCTGAGATGCAAGCTCGTCGAGTCCGCAATCTTTGCTACAATTGCGATGAAGGCTATGCTTTTGGCCACAAATGCAAGGGCAAAGCCACCTTACTTTATATTGCTGGTACAAAGGATGATAATTTTGTGAGTCTGACACTCTTGAGCTTCCACCATTTGACTCACGGGTCTCCAATTTATTATATATTAAGGGTTAATATAAGCATGGAATTGATTTAAAAGTAAGTAAAAATTATGAGAATTATAATTAAATTTTTATTTTATTCTCAAAAATATTCTCATAAAAATTCTTATATTTTGCAGTAAATTTCACCTCAATAAATAAATAAATTGGAGAGATCAAGTAGAGTTACTTTGGATATCTGAATCATTGAAGATCTTATTGAATCTTCCTTCGAATAATTTTAAGAAAAGTTTTTCATTAAATAAAAAAAAGGAAAGATTTAAAGGATTGGATCAAAGATATGATAGGAGATTCTAGTGAAGATTCTATTGAAGATATTATAAAAAATTAAAAGATATGATTTCATCCCTATAAGAAGGCAACTCTTGAAAACACAAAAGCAATTCGAAAGAGGTAAGCATGCAAAATAGGAGTTTGAAGGAGATTGAACAACATTGATTCTTTTTCTTCTTCTTATTTTATTTATTTTAAATAAAATAAATAAGATTATTATTTAAATAATTTTAAATAATTTTAATTATTTTTTAATTTTTGAATGCTTAATAGACTTAAACATGCAAAAAGGCTTAGGTTAGACTTTTTGTGTATAATATAGGATAAATTAGACTTATAATTTGGCCTACACAGACTAACAAATTAGGTTGAACTTAAAATATTTTACACAAGTCTAATCAATTTAAGTCCGTTTGGATGAGTTTGTAAAAAATTACTTTTATGCCTCGCTTATTTTATAAGTGCTTTTTACAAAAGTTAAAAGTATTTAAATTTTAAAAAAACTTAATTTTTGAAAAAAAAAATTGACTTTTAAAAAAAAATTATTACTTTTTTTAGAAGCTAAAATTTTTAACATTCCAAAAAAATAAGTTTTTGACTTTTTTTTTTTCAGTTTTGTATTTTTTTAAAAATAAATGTTCAAACGAACTTTATAGCAGAAAAACTTTTTAAAAAAAATAAAAACAAACAGTGGGATAAATAAAAAAACCATCCAAACGAACTTTAACTCAAAATCGGACTCAACCCTATTGCTACCCACTTAAAAACAGTTACTCACGCATAAAGAAGAAAAATGTCCATTCAAAAATTCTCGTTTGGTCTGCAATAAAAAAAAAATTAAAAATAAAAACAAACTGTCATTTGGTCAAAAAGCCGAGGCTTGACCACTACGGTGAAACTAAAGGCTCCTGTTCACTCTCAAGTAGTTCCTCTTATACACTATTCATGCTAATTGCTAAGTAATGATTATTCTTGCCTGGTCCAACCGAAGAATCAAGCAAAAGCGTTGTTCATCCACTTATTGACTGCAAGTCTTGAGATTGAAGAATCCAACCATCAACAATAAGTACCAGATAGAAGAAGAGAGAACTGGTAAAACTCTCATTTGGTCAAAAAGCCAAGCATTCATCAGTGCCGAATTCACAAAATTTTATTTATGCATACATGTTCTCCAAAAAAAATAATTAAAAGAAAAATTTAAATATATTAAAAATAAAAGAATATAAATAAAAAAGAAGAAGAAAACTTCAACTTAATATTAAAAAAATAATAATCAAGAGTTATATAAAAGTGATTCTTCTTTTGTTATTTTTTCCATTCTCAATATTCAAAATTTTGAAATCTATAGTTAAAAATAATAATAATTTCACAATTTCATGCCTATCACTATCTTATTAATCGGTTTAGTTTTTTATTTTTTGTTCCGGATTTATATGCCCGGGTATCACTAGCCATGGAAACTGGCTGAGTGAATCCGGAAAGACCTTTATCCGGATAGTTGGTTAGTTATTTCACGTATTGGTACCTGAGGTGGGCCCTACCACGATTACATGATAGTATCTACCACTACCCACGTTCAGTATAACTACCTAAGCCATATATATATATATATATATATATATATATATATATATATATATATATATGTTAGGCAGGTTTATCTTACACCGGTATAAGACTAATAAGTCTTACACCAAATCTTAACCATTGATTTTCTGCATCTAACGGTTAAGATTTATTAGATCTCACTCATTAATTAATTTTTAATTCTCAATAAATCTCAACCGTTAGATGTACGAAAATCAACGATTAAGATTTGGTGTAAGATTTATTATTCTTACACCGGTGTAAGTTGATCCTATCCCTGTATATATGAGAAAAAGAATTCTTATGTTGTAGGAGAGCTCTCTTCTTATGTTAGTGAGAGTTCATTATGCGTGCAATAATTTTTTTTGTTTTCTTTATTTTTTATATGTGGGTCCTACCATAAATTTGAGTGTGTAGAAGATTTCCTCCTCTCCAATAGTATGTGAAAAACATTGTCCTATATATATATATATATATATATATATATATATATATATATATAGAGAGAGGACAATGGTCTAGAAGAAGGGACACTCACAATTAGAAAGAACCTGCATTGATGTTTGTCCAGAACATTTTTCAAAACTCATTTTATGCATTGTATCAAAAGTATCAAAGTAATTAAAGTCTGCATTAAATTCCACAAATTTTCAAATTAATTAAACCCTGCAGTAGGCGATGTAGTTTTTTTTTTTTTTTTCCCTAAAACTTTGTGTTTGCGAGTGCAAACAATTACAATAACGTAGGTACGCCAATGGCTTGACCATTAAGGTGAAACTAAAGGCTCCTGTTCACTCTCTTGTAGTTCCTCTTTTGCACTATTCATGCTAATTGCTAAGTAATCATTATTCTTGCCTGGTCCAACCGAAGAAACAAGCAAAAGCATTGTTCATCCACTTATTGAATGCAAATCTTGAGATTGAAGAATCCGACCATCAATAGTAAGTACCAGATAGAAAAAGAGAGAACTGGTAAAACTTAATGGAAGCAAATAATTGGCGAGACCTCTCTTTGAGAAGTCGTTGTTTAGACTAAGCTGAGGTTGACACACTAGGAACCGTGAACTTTAGGTATACCCTTCTCATGAATTTAAATTCTTCATTGAAACAAAAGTTTATTAGTTATTAATTATTAATTGAGAAATAATGGATGCATTCTAAATTAACATTTTTTTGGATTTTTTAATTTTTGCGCAGCTAACACAAAGAGCTCCTTGGCAGGCCACCATCACTCAACAAGTGTGGCTTTCTTGTACACGTATACCCTCGTATATCTCATGCATATATGACCTTTTACACATTATGGATCAAGCAACTTCATATTCAGTGGGGTTTATAGAAAAAAAAATAGTTATGTCATTACATTTTGTGCATATTGAGAAAATCTCTTTCTGGTAATGAAAAGAGATTTCAGCTCTCACTATTTAATATTTTTTTATCTCAGACAAATTGACATACTTCACCATTTGGAAAAATAGTTGCAAAACTTCATATTTTAATTCAAGGATTTGCTTTGTCTACGATCAATGTAGATAATTTATGAGCCAAAATGACATGTTTTGATGCAAAAGTTAAGATATTTTTGTAATATAATTTATTTTAGGGTTATAATAGTCTTTTTTATTATATTTTTTTAAAGAAAAATGATATCATTTTAAGAGCAAATATACACAACTTATCTAAATTCACTAAGCAGCTTTAATTCAATTCACTAACTAATTCGTTTTCAACAAAATACGATCATATGAACGAGATAGCTCTCGTTTCCAAAAAATTTCTCCCACAATTATATATATTCAAGACTCAAATTTTAAATAACTAATTAAACTGATAAAATCACATGCTTGGTGATACAGTTTAAATTCACATATTCACACTATCAAATTTTTTTAAAAAAATTAAATCAAAATTTGAAGTAACTTAACACGTGCAACTCGTTCCATACCAGTAACATCTCTCCCCCGAGTGAGGATAACACACCACTCCATAATCCATGAATTTATGGGTTCAACTCTTGAGAGTTGAGACTGAATCAACCTTTTAATAAACAAAGTCAATATACATTTTCCCACTCATCACAAAAGCACACTTATCAAACCTGATGTCGTATCTATACTACACTTTTCTTCGTCCTTGGTCCTCCTCCTTTCTCTTTCGCCCACAACTCTATCCAATCAAAGTCTCATCACTCGCACTCTTAAGTAACCCACCAATACCCACAACCATTGCCATGCCACAAAAAAACAAACTCAACCCAAACCCATGGACACCAAACTGTTAACAATTCGCACTCTTGTCTCCACCCTCACCTCCCCCTCCGACCAAACCCGACTCGCCTCCCTCCGCCACCTCCACCGCATCTCCAACCAAGATCCCACCGCCCGACCCCTCATCTCCGCCGCCGGCGCTATCCCCCTCCTCGCCGAAGCCCTCTACTCCCTCTCCCACCCCATCCAAGAACACGCCGCCGCCACCCTCCTCAACCTCTCAATCTCCGACCGCCAACCCCTCATCTCCTCTCCCACCCTCCTCGACGCCCTCTCCCACGTCCTCTCCCGCCACGCCTCCACCTCCTCCCCCGCCGCCGTCCAGTCCTCCGCCGCCACCCTCCACAGCCTTCTCGCCGTCGTCGCCGAATACCGCCCTGTCGTCGGCGCCAAGCACAACATCCTTCGCGCCCTCGTTGACATCATCGGCGGTCCCAATTCGCCGACGAGGTCAGTAAAAGATGCACTCAAGGCGTCCTTCGCCGTGGCACTTCACCCACCGAACCGGACCGACCTGATCCGGTTCGGCGCGGTACCTGCGATTTTTAATCTGATGGCGAAGGACAAGAAGAGAAAAAGTGGCATCGTTGAGGATGCCACTGCAGTAATTGCACAAATTGCAGGGTGTGAGGAAAGTGAGGTGGCGTTTCGGAACGTTTTGGGGATTCCAGTGTTGTTGGGTTTGTTATGTTTGGATCATGAGAAGTGTAGTTTGAGGACCAAAGAGAATACGGTTTCGGGTTTGTTGAATTTGGTTAGGTACGGAGGAGAGAGTGTTATTGGGGAGGTTAGAGAAAGAGTTGAGGCGTTGGATTGGATCGTGTATGTGCAAGAACATGGTAGCGCCAAAGGGAAGAGTAAAGCCGTGGCGTTGTTGAAGATATTGCTTGATGGCGGAAGCAATGATAAAATTGTTGAAGATTTGTATCCTGTTGAATCAAACTTGTAATGTTACAATTACAATTTTTGATCTATTTTTTTTTTTTCTCAATTTTTATTCTTTATTAAAGCTACTTTTAGGTCGGATAGTGTACAAAGTTACGACAAACTAGGTGTTAGTTAGTTAGTTCTCATTCTCATGTGGTTATGCTCTGTTGATCAAGCTAAGCTACGACAAATTTTTGTTGTTTATATATTGTACATTCTTACGGAAACAATGGCAATTAATAATAATATGGTTGTATTCTTCTGCAGGTGTTACTTTTTGTTTCCATTGCTTTGGTTTTTTTAGTCTTCTGTTTGATTGCAACCCCTGGGTTTACCTTGCTCCTATGGTCTCTAGTTTTGTGTTAATCCTAAAAAAGCTCTGCTTAAATGCTCCAAGCGTGTGATCTATTGAAGAGCTAATATGAGAGTGTGCATGGAGGGGGGAAATTTAGTCCCCCAGAATGGCACCATAAGTAAATAGAATCAAGATTTTATACCGGTTTAATTTATATTTAATATTCTCAATTTTAGTGGTTGATTGTATTTATATTTAATATCTCATATGACTAATAAATTAGAGCCTTTAGATGCAAGATAATCAATGGACAAGATTCGGTACAATGCATGTAATTCTTACACTAATATAGATCCTTTATCCCTTATCAAGAATGTGCAGTGTGATTATATAGTAAACTTGAATTCATGCACCCTTCAGAACAACCATTTGAATTTTGAAATCATTTGCAGAATCGTCCCCACCATGCCTAATCTCAAAATTCCAAGCTAGCTCAAAGAAACAGTAAAATAGTTAATTAGCTCTTAAAACTAATGAAGATAGCTTATAATATAAATGATGTACGCAGTGAATTACACTGCTTTCAGAAACTAGTTGGTAATTAAAATCATTAATGCATTTACTTCGTAACTTATTCTGGCATCTTAGAAAAGGTTGTTACCATTTATCTGTAATTCTGCATGCTTTACGGACTCTGTTATGTTCCTCACGAATGGAAGATTTTCCTGGTTTTAGCGTTATTTATGTGTGGCATCTTTTAATGAAATAAGGATGTAGGTACTGATTCTAAGTGCTAATGGGTCTAAAACTACAAACAAAAGTGGCTGCTACCATAATGAAAAAGCTTTATTTTGGTGGGCTCAATGAAGGTGGGAAGAGGTATGAAGGCTGCTGAATGCATTCTTTAAACTATAGGATTTTTATGGCCGAAATGTTCTCTCTCCCTTTCCTCTTTTAATACCATGGAAACGATCCGAAGAAGAGAAACAATATATTTTTGCATTTTAAGGTTACATTGTTTTATATTGGCCAGTTTTTGAGACGTAAACTATTCAATATGCATTTCCATTCTTAAGAAGCTAAACATTAACTCTTAAGTTAGCAACTTTGTTCAAAGTTCTGTGCACTATGAATCAGTTTGCTAGACTCAACAAGATTGATTATTTATCAGTTGAGTGTGATTCATTTTATATGCTTTTCTTTCTTCGACTTTACTTGATTCCTCTATTCTTTTGCACTGGAATGATTTTGAATAACCAAAATCTCAGTAGCCAAGAGGAAACTTGGTATTATTTGCAGCCTATTATTCTTAAAATGGACTATAAAGTAGAGGGCTCATTGAGATCCCCATGAATGACAAGTGTGAAGGATGGTGCTTAAGATTGACTTGTACAAGTGCTGCAAATTACTTATGGGAAGGATTCAGTTTTTTTTTTTTTTTTTTGTAACCGGGAAGCATTCAGTTTAACTGCAATTTAAAGTTTCATGAATTCAAGTTTTCCTTGTATTCTTTCTATTAACCGCTCTTTCATTTTCAATTTTTTTCAAATATGTTGCATCTGGTGGAGTATGGTTGTAATGTACAGTAATAGTGGATAATATTTTGAACTCCATGTCTTTTTCTTATACTTTTGGAACTGAAATCAGAAGCCATTTTCGAATAATTCCTGAGTTGTCTTATTCAACAGGGGCAAGTACAATATGCATATATAGCCCAAGAACCAAGACAAAAGGCTAGAGTTTAGGAACTAAATTAAGAGAGGGAAAAAAAAAAAAAAACCACAACTATAGCCTAAACTACCCTCTACAAATAAGGATATAACTGCACCAAAGTAAATAAAAAAGTTGACTTACAATACTCTCTTAATTTTGGTATTTATTTATTATGATCCCTCAATCTTTGGGATTTATTCAGTCTTTCAATACTCTCCCATAAGTTAATGAATAGAGATGTTAATCGTTCTCAGCCCATTAACATTTGAATCAAACTTTGATTTTGATAGAGAACTTCTTACAACTTGGTTAGCACAAAATGCAAGCTGAATGTCACATTCTCTATTTCTGTCTTCATAACATTTCTGTTAATTCTTAAATGCTTCATTCTGACAATATTAACTGAGTTATGAACTATGTTGATTGCAGATTTACAGTCACTGAATAGCCTCATAGAATCTTGTATAGGAATATGTCATATGTAGGTGTTGTAGTAATAAGTACTCGTCCATAGTAGTTCACAAAATGCTGGAGTAATTGTTCTGTATTCTGTTTGTGCACTATAACAATTGTTGATTTCTAACTTCTCCAGTTCTCCTAGTTACCAAGTTTTCCTATACTTTTTGTGTAATATCCAATAATTGACTTTGTGTCTTCTACCGATCATGTCCAATTTGAGTTGGCATAGCATTCAATACAGCCCATGAAATATGGACGACAGATCATGAGATTTGTTCTGATACCATAAAATCAAAGGTCCTTTCAAATAATTCCTCTTTAGTTGTTTTATTCAACAACTACAAGATATAGTATATATAGCCTAAGAGCTCAAACATAAGGCTAGTGTTTGTTTGGAAATATTAAGTGAGTAGTGGTGAACCCCCACATCATTTAAAAATAAATCAACGGAGAATCATATAACTGCAAAACATTTATTGTAGATTGTCATTTGGCCCATTGGTCGAGGTATTACTTGCAAAGAGTTTTGGACTCTCATTCTAACAGTAGTACCAAAGCCACTGTTGAGCTAGGCTGAACCTAATATTTGGAGAGGTTTTGGGATGAGATGCGGTGTCGGTTAACTTATTGTTTTATCATTTGGTCCATTAGTTGAGCTATCCGTTGCAAAGGAGTATTGATGAGGAACCGAATTAAGAGAAAAAAGCAAAACTTTAGTGTAAACTACAGTCTACAAATAAGGAAATAACTAAACCAAAGTAAATCAGAAAATTGACTAACAATAATCCCGGAAGAATTCTTTCAAAAAATTTCCTTGAGATTAAATAGTTTTATTGGGGGGAAATTCAATCAATTATGCAATTCTCATGCAAAGGAACAGAAATTCGGAACGTAATTACTTGAGCAAGAACTTATTTCTGTTGGGGCAAACCATGCACCTTCAAACAAAATGTAAAGGCTGCATCTATGTTTCTGAAAACTTTAATTACCCCTCTTTGATGCTTTTATCTTTGTAAACAAAGCATAAAGTGGCCTCACTTTGCAAGTCATTTAAGTTAAAAACCTTTTTTTGATTAGTGCTGTAAATATTATTATTTATTTATTTGTTATTTGTTGTATTGGGCTTAGCCCATTAGGTCAAGTATTCTAGGTCGTGTATTCTCTATAAATAGAGAACCCTTTTGTACATATAATTTACAATTCTATAATATATTAGAATACCCTTTTTCAAGTTGGTATCAGAGCTCTCGATCTGAGGGTTCTGCTTCCGCACATATTGTCTTTTTTTTAAACACATCCCTAATTTCTTTGACTCTTGCCGCCATCAGCTGCCACCGGAAAATTTTTCCGGGGACCTTTTGGACCAAGGGGACCTTTGTTGACCTTTATTTTCTCCGATCTATCATTCTACGCACAGTTCCTCCGCCACAAATGACCCAAACACCTCCGACCGCCTCCAATCAGATCTGTCTTCACCGTTTGGACCACTTTCCGGCAACTTTTCAACCGCGACCACCCACAGACAGGTGCGCGCTCACCGGACAACCACGCCAGAAAAATTTCAGCTGGAAAATCCCCTCCACGCGCTCACACACGCCAACTCTTTCCCGGCAAGTGAAGCCCACGCGCAGCCCATTTCTCAGACGCGTGGAGGCGCGTGCGGAGGTTGTTTTTGACCGGACCACTGCCATTCTTCTCGTCTCCTTGTTCTCTGTCTGGATCTGTGATTATTTCACTGTCGGACTTCATTTGATATCTGTTTGGTTGATTTTATCGCTGGTTGTTAACTTTTTTATTGAAGAATGGCCGAGAATGACAGTTCCACTACAAGAAAATAGGCATTTAGAGGCGGGACTTCTGAGGCGGTTTATATGAAACTGCCTCTGATATACAATCCAAGGCGGTTCTGGCGACCTTTTTTAGGGAGGTCACAAAATTACGTCCATTATGGGCGGTTATCCTATGACCGCCTGAGATTTATTTATAGGAGGCGGTTTATCTGAATTTGGAGGCGGTTCATGTTTAAATGATAAAAATATATGAGATCATGGTTCGAACCCGTACTCCTAAAGTAAATGCAGACTCTGTAACCATTGTGACTAATGGATTATAATTGTTACTTCATACCAATTATTTGTTAAATAGTAACAGAATTTGTAAATTTTGCGGTTCCATCTAGATGAATTGTAATTCCCACGCGTTAATTTTTTGTGAAAGTTACCTCTTCCCCCCTTTTCATTCTTTCACTTTCCCCTTTCACCTCCATACCTTTTCACCTTTCAGTTTCCACACACCCTTTCCCGCTACACACACTTTCACTCTTTTTCTTTCTCTTCCATCGCTCAACGATTTTTAACTTTTTTCTTTCTCTTCCGCCATTCAACTGTTCACTATTTTCTCTTCCATTGTTCAACTCTTCACTATTTTTAGTATCAAGTTTAGGTTTAAAGGTTAGGTTTTTATAATCATTTACTCTTCACTGCGTCTCAAAACTCTTCTTCTTCTTTTAACGATTTTCACTTTCAACATATAGGCTTTCAGTCGTTGCCATGGTG